TGGCTTTTGGCAATGTGACAAGTTCAGCACCATTCCATGTGTCTCATAACATCTTTCTCCATTCGAGGCCAATCAAATTTTACTTTGACAAGAGAGAGTGTTTTGTCTCTTCCGAAATGATCGACTAAGCCTCCCCCATGGGCTTCATTGATAATGGCTTCTCTTAGAGAACTTCTCGGTATGCACAAGCAATTATTTCTAAAGAGAAATCCATCTTGCAATAAAAATTGCTGAATTGGACCTTTCGAACAATCTTTCCAAATCTTCCTAAAGTCAGTGTCTTCTTCATAAAGCTCCTTGATCATGTCAAGTCCTAAGACCTTCACTTGCATTGTGGATAGCAAGGAATGCCTACGGCTTAATGCATCCTCCACTCAATTGAGAGTTCCAGCTTTATGTTTAATAAGAAAAGTGAAAGCTTGTAGAAACTCTACCCACTTGGCATGCCGATTGTTGAGCTTATGTTGAGTATTTACATACTTCAAGGCTTCATGATCCGAATAGAGAACCAACTCTTTAAACAATAGATAATGTTGCCAATGATCCAAAGCCCGAACAATAGCATAAAATTCCTTATCATAAGTCAAGTAATTCTTGTGGGAATTATTCAACTTTTCACTAAAGAATGCAATAGGCTTTCTTTCTTGGCTAAGAGACGCACCAATCCCCAAATTGGAAGCATCACAATCAACTTCAAAGACTTTATTAAAATCTAGAAGTGCAAGAATAAGAGCCTCGGTTACCTTCTTTTTAAGGAGTTCGAAGCTTTGTTGCGCCTCTTTGGTCCACTTGAAACTCCCCCCTTTCAAGCATTCGGTGATAGGAGAAATAATAGTACTGAAATGCTTGATAAAGCGACGATAAAATAAGGCCAAATCATGTAAACTCCGAATGTCATGTATAGATGTCGGAACGGGCCAGCTTATAATTGCTTCTCCCTTGCTTGGATCCATCTTGATACCATCTTGAGAGACAATATAGCCTAAAAAGACAAGGCTATCGGTAAAGAAGTGACACTTCTTTAAGTTGGCATATAACTATTGCTCCCGAAGAACCTTGAAAACTTGGCGAAGATGCTCCAAGTGTTGTTCTTGAGTAGAACTATAAACAAGAATGTCATCAAAATAAACAACAACAAAGCTATCGATAAATGGTTTGAAGACATGATTCATGAGGCACATAAATGTGCTAGGAGCGTTAGAGAGACCGAAAGGCATAACCATCCATTCATAAAGGCCATCTCTTGTTTTGAAGGCAGTTTTCCACTCATCTCCGGTTCTCATTTGAATTTGATGATATCCACTTCGAAGATCAACCTTGGAAAAGATAGTAGCGCCATGGAGTTGATCGAGAAGATCGTTGAGTCGAGGAATGGAAAAGCGGTTTTTGATGGTAATCTTATTCACCGCTCTATTATCGATACACATACGCCAAGACCCATCCTTCTTCGACACGAGAAAAGCAGGGATAGCGCACGGACTCATGCTTTCTCTCACCATTCCTTTAGCCAATAGTTCATTTACTTGTCGTTGAAGCTCTTCATGCTCTTTAGGACTCACTCGGTAGGCGGCTTTGTTTGGAATGACAGCTCCCGAAACAAAATCAATGCAATGCTGAATGTCTCTTATAGGCGGAAGACCGGGTGGAATTTCTTCCGAAACAACATCCTTAAATTGTTGAAGAAGAGGTGCTACTTGAGAAGGAGCAACAAAATGTTCTTCATTCTCTTCTAACACCACAAGAGCATATGCCTCCAAGGAATCTTCCAAAGCCTTATCAACTTCAAATTTAGAGAGTAAATTATTTCCCTCCCCATTAGATGGTTTAGGAGCGATCTCTATTTTGGAAGGACTCAAAGTGATTTTGACTCCATCATTCTTGAAAGTGTAAGTATTCTTAAAACCATCATGCTTAGTTTTTCTATCGAATTGCCAAGGCCTCCCAAGAAGCAAATGGCAAGCATCCATGGGAACAACATCGCACCATACTTCATCATTATATGTTTTTCCAATGGAGAATTGAATAAGGCATTATTTATCAACCCTTACCTCATTCCCTTTGCGAAGCTAAGAGAGCTTGTAAGGTTGTGGGTGTTTCTCCGTCTTGAGGTGCAATTTATCCACCATTGTTGTAGCAACGACATTCTCGCAGCTTCCTCCATCGATAATAACATCACAAACCTTCCCATGAGAAGTACATCTAGTGTGAAAAATGTTGTTGCGAAGCCACATACCATCTTCACTAGGAATAGCATTCAAGACCCGACGAAGGATTAGAGACTCTCCTTGATCTCCATAGATAACTTCATTTCCCTCTTCCAATCCTTCATTGGAACTAGGGAAGTCTTCAAGATTGTCTTCTTCATGCTCTTCTTCTACTAGAGAGACAATCTTACGATTTGGACAATCAAAGGCAATATGTCCAATCCCTTGGCACTTGAAACATCGGACAAAGTTAGGGCGCTTTGAACTCGATGCTCCTTCAATCTTAGGAGTGGACTTTAAAGCAGCTGTTTTATTTTTAGTAGGAATATTCCCACTTTTGGAATAGCCCTCCTTGTCCCGATATCGAGAGCCACTACCACGAGCTTCTTTAAGTTGCCCTTCCACCTTTAAAGCAAGTTGGCAAACATCATTATAAGTCCAGTAAGGTTGAAGTTGGACAACATTACTGATTTCTGAGCGAAGTCCACCAAGGTAGCGGGCAACAGTTTGCTCCTCGGGCTTAGAAATATCACAAATCATCATGAGGTGACCAAACTCCGCTATATATTCTTCCACGAACAGTTCCTTTTGTTTGAGGTTGTGAAACTGGAGGAAGGTATCTTGCCGATAGTTTGTCGGTAAGAACTTCTTCTTCAATTCTTTCCTCATCTTTTCCCAAGTTACGATACGGCTTCTTCCTTCACGAGCTCTTTGCTTCTTCAAGTGCTCCCGCCAAATAGACGCATGTTTTTTGAGCTTGATGGCGACTAGCTTCACCTTCCGATCAGTTGGTATGTCTTTGCAGTCAGAGACTCTTTCTACCACGTGTAGCCAATCCACGAATTCTTCCGGTTGCATCTTCCCTTCGAATTCAGGAATTTCAACCTTCACATATGAATCTTGCTGACTTTCATAGAACCTTCGATACTGACGTCGAGGAAGCCCCTCCTCACTCGAAGCATGACTTCGAGCACCAGCGAAAGGGTTAACATCCTCTTCATCAGAGAGAGCATCTTCTGAATCATGACGCAAATCATCACATTCAAGAAGTTCAAAGTGTTGCAAACGCTCTTGCAGTTGCTGCACTTGTCTCCTTAAATCATCCACCTCCACATCTTGTAGGTCTCTTTCTCGATCTGTAGAAGACTCAACGTTTGGTCCACGTCGATGACGACCAGCCATTGAACCGTGCTCTAATACCAATTTGACGTCGGAGAAAATGTAGAGAAGTAGGAGGCAACACAAGTGAGAACTAGAATAGATAGGTCGCTCGCCACTCGTAGGTAATTAACCTCGGAGATAAGAGCAAATACTCGCCACCCGTAGGAATCCACCTAAGGGATAAAAGTAAAACAAGAAATCCTTCTTGTTCTCAAGCCAAAAGCTCAATTAATTTTACTCAAAATAAGTCTTCTTTTTGTTATTCATCATAGCACGTCTATATAGAGCATGGAACAACCCTCCAAGCTTGAGTAATTACTAAGACTCTTTGGAAAGACAAAAGATTCATAGGAAAGACAAACAACATTTACAACCATAAATAAATAAGGACTCCAGAAACTTGAATGACATTAACTAGACCTTGAAAATATACGAGAATTAAATGCAACCGATTGAAGGTCTCCATGACTTTACCATTTCCAAAGTGGATAATTAATGGCCTTTGAAAGAACTGAACAGCCTTCGGTTCGTTGTGATCGAAAAGTAGACTTTGAAATCGACAAGAGCCGACTTGGTACCAATAATATTGACAAGAACTTGACGTCTGAAAAATGCTCCGGCATCAAAGTCCGAGGACTCCCTTTCTGGTGGAATGTAGACATTTGTTGGGGATTTCCTAATCACAAGTCAAGGACCCGCCCCATTGGTGCATCAACACAACCAATTAGAAAATTTCAGACCACTTCCTTTAGTTTGTCCTAGCGAAAAAGCTTATCTTTGTCTCAATCGAGTAATACAGTAAAAAGATAATTTTATTCCTGAAAAATAGTCTATCTCGAAACCTCATAAACCATCTATGTATTGATAAAAGGGTTTACTGAGTCTTTCACATTACTTTATAAACCAATTGTAGAGTACACGGCACTATTCAAAGTAGAACTCACCACAATCAGTACAATTCTCTCTTCCATATGTCATAGATCGACATGACCCATCACCTTTCCTCTTAGAAACAATCATACATTTGGGAATTGGTGTGGTGATTTATAGATGTTGATGTGTTTAAGCGTAATCCTTACTTTTGTTGCCAGATGAAATACCAACTGAAAACACATGATCATGGAATAACTTAATTCCTTAAACGGGTCAATTATAAGGTCAATAGACTACAGTATAGCATCGGATATGATAGTGCGGGACCCCTGCGTCTTCCTATCGATGGGGAGTATGAACTACACTCTAACATAATCCACGTGACACAACGGATGTTGAGCCTTTAACACGACTCAAACACAGCAGGAGATATCGATGCATTCACAGCTGATGGCATGACCTAGGAAATAATATGTACATGGAAAGCTCGGATTTATATCAAAACATCATATTCGACATGGAAGTTGTCCTCAGATGCAACACTTGGAACAAACTAATTGCGTAATTCTGACGGATAACTTAAATCTTGTTCTATTTTCATCGGAATTCCCTTTTTAGACCACCAGATCAGTGATTAAATTGGTTTCCGGACGTAGAATTCCATTTCGAGAACAAATTATCATTCCACACTTAGTAAGAATGACTGTTCAAATAGACTAAATAGAATCATGTCGTATTGTATAGTGATAAATCATTCCACTCTTTGACAACTTCACTCTCTCCAATCTTATTAAGATAACTATAATGTGGTTCAGAAACTCCTATTAATAAACAGAAGGAAAAATATAAAGAACATAGGTTTAGGGTCTTATACGAACATGGCCTCTCCGCACTATGCAGCTAAATCTTGATCAAAAGGTCGATACTACCGTCCGGTCGAAGAACGCGCCGGAAGGTCCATCTTTTGGCAATAAAGCCACTGTAACAGGACCTCTGGCGCCTTCCTCGACCGACAAAATCCCAGTGTTGCGGTTCAGGTCGGTCTTGACAAAACCGGGGTTCACAGCATTGATGGCGATACCGGGATATTTCTTCGCCAAAACTCTTGTGTAGGCATTGAGAGCTGCCTTGGAGACGATGTAAGCGGATAAAATGATCGGCCAGCCTCCGGTTTCCACCGTGTCCTCCTTCTTATCCTTCAGAAATCTCACTACCAAACCGTCCACTTTCTCTTCCGTGAGGTTATCGATGTCATTGAGCTCCTCTTTGATATTCTCGCCGGGGATGTACTGAGTTCAAGAAGGATAAAATGAACAAATCTTGTCATGAGAGACTATGCAAGTGACTGATAATTTAGAGGAACTAACGAGCATGCGCCTATAATTGGAAAGTCAATAAACATTAGCACACCTTATAAATTGTTTGTTATTTTACATTCCTCGTGTTCGATACGTCACATCTGCCACACTTTTTTTTTTCCTTTCACGTCATGAGTTTCAATTGATCACCTTTGTCATTGCGTGAAACTACCAGCTGATACAATATGTTGATTATGTGTGGTTTTCTCAATCGACAACCTGAAAAAATTCGATTGCGTACTGCACTAATTAAGTATATACCTTAAGCTGGCCAAGGGAAGAGGAGACATTGACTACTTTTGCTGCATTTGATTGTTGAAGAAGAGGTAGAAGAGCAGCAGTCACTTGTTTGATTCCATAGTAGTTAGTCCTCAGACATTTTTCTGCTGATTCAAGCGTCTCTTTAATATGCTCTTTCATCGATTTGGCCTCGGGACCTATAATCTGTAATAAGGTTACAAGAAAATGACGATGGTGTTAACCAATTTAAGCTTCTTAATCTCGATAAATAAAAGGGAAGAAAGGAACAAGAAAAGCATCATGAGATATGTTTTAACGTCGTATGTGTTCTATAAATCGCATCATAAAGATTACATGGAAAAATGTATTTCATAGTAGCCTTGCGGGTTTGAGAAAACTCACTTTATCTTCTGTCAAGACCAAGTCCTTTTTCATGACTGTAGATGCGGTTATGCCTGCATTATTCACCTGCAACGCCATTGTTCTTTTATGGCTCTTTTCTCAATCTATTTGAAGCAAGATATAAAAAGCGACATACAAATAGATTTTACCAAAATATCGAATTTCCCGAACCGAGCCTTGACGTAATCCACCAGCGAATTGACACTATTCCCGTCGGCCACTTCGAGCAGATGAAAGGCCACGTTGGAGATCCCCATGCTCGCAAGCTTCTCGATAGCCTCATTTCCTCTATTTACATCTCTGGCGGTTAAAACAACAAAGACTCCATTTGAAGCTAGTTGCTTGCATATCTCGAATCCGATCCCTTTATTCGCACCAGTGACAACCGCGATTCTATGAAAATTAACACAAAAAGGAGAACAAAACAAAAGGGTCAACATGTATATCGAAATATATCATATCGAACCAGTGTCGATGATTCATCAAGAGTAGTGTAAGCGAGGAGTACCTGTCCATTTGACGAAGAGCTTGAAATGTTAAAATCTCCCTCTTTCTTTCTTTTCCAAAGGTTTCGGAGGGTGGTGGCTCTTCTGCCGTGGCTTGTTGGTTGCTTTTTTGTAGGTAGAAAAACCATCAGCCAGTACGTCATAGGTTATACTTGGTTGATCGTCGAGGAAGTTTATAACGTGTGCCGTGACGTATCCTCGTTATTGTTATCTAAGTAGTCATTGTCTCTCTGACTGCTATCATCTCTTCATAAATTATCCAATTGGATATCACCTACATAGCTTTCGGTGTTAACATAGTTGACTGAGTGGCTACTTGTTAATTGTCATTCTTGACCCCAGTGCCTGCCTTGTGCAATCATAAGCACCCACCCAAATTATGATAATCCAAAATCTGGAGCTAGCTTTTTTTTTTTTTTTTTTTTTGGTCAGCCTGGAGCTAGCTTGAGTGATTGATAATCTGCTAGCTATTTGCGCCTCGATTGATGGACAAGACTAAATTTGGTATTTTTAGTTTGTGGGTGAGTTTTTATCTTGGATGAGAAGAGGTCACAAAATAAAAGATTGACATAATCGTTTAGTGCATGGAAATGAAATGCATGAAGTAGGACACCTGCCATTCTTGTCTCACGGATCATGATTCTCTCGTACCCTTAAAAGTGGAGCTTGGCGTTATCGGGTGAAGAGTGAGGATGTAGAAGGGATGAATACAACTGGATCGTGAAAGTGGTATCGGGACGGTTGGTGCTAAGAATTTTAGGATGAAAAGAATAAATCCTTAAAAGCTTTGAAAACGAGGTTGGCCTCCTGTGCACAAATTGATCGAAAGCTGATGCCGCTCTCTTAGTGAGGCCATGGCAGGCCGAAACCAGTTGTGGTGCCTAAAGTATTATGCATGCATCACTCGATAGACTAGACACCCGAGTTATACTAGGCGTGGTACGATTCGATATGAAAAAGCTATTCGTCGTATTGTTCTGTGGAACAACTAAAGAACGAGGGTTAGCCTGGTGTGAACAACCCACCAGGCACCGCACGGGCTATTCCGCGGCCAAGAAATTGCCGGCCCATGACACTTGCATGTTAAAATATAGTTAATCTCATTAACTGACCATTCTTAAACTTTCGTTGACCACTTCTTTTAAGTTTGTATCTCATTTAGCATTAGTGAGACAAGAAGATGGACGATGAGAGAATGAATTTGAATGATCGAGTTTATAAATTTTAGGGTAAGTCGTTCACCACTCTTTGGTGTTTTAATGTACCGTATTTGTGTTAATCTGTAGATTAGATCAGTAATTGTATTCATCATTTAATATCAAATTTGTTGGGTGGTCTTGGGCCTGTCTCACCCCAAAAGCTAGCTCAAAGGGTGATATTTTCTCTCACACTTATAAACTGACCACCAGCCCCTTTCACAACTGATGTGGGACAACCTCAACAATATCTAACCACGATCGAAACTAAGTGCCACGTGGATAAAGTGCTACGCTGTGAGAAACACTTCTGAAATCTTGTAATGACAAAATGCTACATGATGGGGAGCCACCTCTTGAAATCATCTTTGGAATCCTACTAGGACGACCATCTGGGTAATTTCAGTGGGGTCAACTATATGGTGTGCATCATCGAATAGCATCTGTTTGATCTATTATCATTTAGCATTTCTGAATTTTAGAATAAGTAGTAAGTCACTTACTGAGTCGGTGATTTGCTTACACAGCATTGAAGCTGATTCGCCAACAGTGTTGGCGAGCTGGCCTAGATTGGGAGATAGGAAATCGAGTTTTTGAAATAGGAGCGTCCAATGTTGCAAAAGCAAGCAATAAATTGGACATCGAATTTATGTGGTTCGGTTGTAATGACTTAAATCCACAGGAAGAGCAGCAACGAATTCCATCATAGAGCAAGCGATACATCAGAGATTACAACTACACTCGAGTTACCCAATCACTCTCGGTATTTCCCAGCCCCTAATTACACTCAATAACTCACACAATGTTTAGCTCACAATTCCTCAAGAAATAATCTCTTAATCTCACGAAGGAATTATACACAAATTCTTACCATAAGAATTTAATCGACTTCAACACTTGAATTCTTGATGTAACTGCACGAACAATACCCACAAGAATAACCCATGTCAAGCACTCCCTTAGAAATGGCGCTTCAAGACTTCGTCCTCTTAGGGCCAAGTTCAAAGACATAGTATATATTTCCAAAGGGGACGTCCATTGGCCGAATTCAATTAGGAAAAGCAAATCCGTGAGACACGGTCAACCCAAAGTCCAAGTTGGACTTTCCTCAATTTCCTATTCTCCTCGGCCAAAATTCAATAAAGCAGAGAATAATTCCGTATTCCGTATATTTTATTTCTTCTTTCTGTGATTCATTGTTGACCGAGTCAATGTCTATCTCAAAGTCCACGTTGACCTTTCTAATGGACTTTCCTATTTCAAGCCGTAGACTCGAACTTCATTCCGGAACAATCTTGATTACTTCACGACTCGAACACGGCAAATAATATCCATAATCTGCAATGTTATATTTTGAACTTTCTTGCACCAAACTTATACAAAATTCAGTTTGGGTCGGGTTCGTTCAACAGATCTAAACTCGAGATATATTTTAGCACCCAACGTAAAATTGAGTGAATTTTGGGACGTTACACAAAGTATAAAGTCAAATCACAAGAAAGTGCTCGAGAGATGATTTTGTTGTTGGAAATTTGTTAGATAACATGGAAAAATAAGAAGAATTGGAGATCTATTGAAAAACATAATAAAATAATATCAAAATATCCGAGGCGTGACCTTAAGAATAATTTCGCCTCTCGAAATACAAAACTCGGTGCGTAAAGCTCTAGCGGCTATCCTCCCAAGATACAACAGATCTTCTTCTATACTCCACACTGAATATTAGAAGGAAACACGAACAACATTATGTATATAACCTAGCAAAGAAAAAAAAGATATAAAAGAAAGATTAAGAATATTTTCGTTTTGATATGTATATATATATATATATATCACTTTTCAATAATGCTCAAAATAACAATTTATAGGTACAAAGAAAGAGAGCCATTATAAACCGTTGTAAAATAATGGAGGGTTTAAGAACAATTAAATCAAAAACCGTTAGAAAGCCGTTATACGGCCGTCGCAAAACTGTTACAAAATAATAGCTTTATGGCCTTCATAAATTATAATAAATATTTCAAAACTGCTGAAATATCCAACAATCGCCCACATATTTCAAAAGGTTTTGAAATGAAAACATAAAATAATGCTGGGTTATTGGAGCATAATGCATCGGAACTGGTGCTCGTTAGGCTATGACAAACCCTAGAAAGAATGAAATATAATTCACGAAATCATTAGTGAAGTTTGAAACTTCTATGAACCAATAATTCCTTTTGTGAATCATAATTTTCACCAATCACATCACACTCTCACAAGGTTTGTTGTTCAACGCGGTTATTGCGCTAATAGGCCATGCGCGTGCTTGGTTTATTCGTAAGTACTTTAGAGATCATCGCCAATAATTCTCATAGGAGCGGCCCCACTCCACACTTATATAGGTGATTCCATCAAGTGTATTCTGCAATTTAATACACCACCAATAATGGCTATGGAATTTCATTAAGAGCTTAGCTCACCCTCTTTTCCTTGCAATCTTGCACTATTCTCACCTTAGGAGGGACAAAAAAGAAATTTAATAGTGCATCATAGATCAACAAGTGACTTGTTATTACCCATATGAACCTAATTCATGGGATTGCCAATCACATAGGTTGGGTTACCATCACTGTTGATTTTCTTCAATTGGCTTGTCCCATTCCCCTCGATGTATAGTCAGAAATGATTGGCCAAAATCATTTCCGACTTCATATAATCAATGGACATAATTCCATCTTTAAGCAAATGCTTTACCACATCACGTCTTAACCAAACATATCTATTTTTACCATTGAAAGCTTTTTCAATGCAATGGTTATTGCCACTTGACAATCACAATGCATTGGCAATCACAATGCATCACGTCTTAACCAGACATATCTATTTTTACCATTGAAAGCTTTTTCATTGCAATGGTTATTGCCACTTGACAATCACAATGCACAGACACCAAAGGTGTTGATTTCATTCATAAGGAATATTTGCTAAGAAGTTTCTTAGCTACTCAGCTTATTGCCAGAACTGAGTTTAACATCAATTCTTTCACTTAGCCACAATATTGGCTTGGGAATGACCGCATTAATTATGTCATCAAATCATCTGCATGCTTCAACCAAGTCAACCTTTGGTTTGGCAGGATTATCATTTCCCCCACAATTTTTGTTTAATTGATTTCCAAACTACAGTTGTCCACCAAAGTGAACACATCTATTATCGGATTTTGTTTTATCCAAATCTATGCTTTCCATGAACAAAATAAGTTCAAAGCAACCCATGGACACATACAAAAAATGTCATAACCAGCAGCATAGTCCTTCAATTTGTCCGCAATTTTGTTGCCAACTGTCACCATTGCCATGAATAATCGCTAAAATTGTCTTGCCCTTAACAGACAGATGCAACTTGTTATGAACACTACACTGGAATGTCCAGGATGCGGACATCACTTCACAAACAAATTGAGCAATGAATCCAAGTATTCTTAGAAGCAACAACATGTTGAGCACAATGAGCAGGCTGCTTGGAGATGGCCTATTCTTCTTTAGCCAGCTCAAATTACACGTTTCTCAGAACTTCCTGAAGTTCCTTAAAGTTTTTCGCCACCAAAATACAGGAGGTTAAAATAAAAAAGACTACTTCCGAGGCATTCACAGGACCCACTAAATAGGCAGTAGAAATTGGAGGAGATACGCAAAAGATTTTTCCAAACAAAGAATTCTAGCACACAATTCTTTTCATAATTGGACGCATTAAAGAGAATAAATAATAGCACCCAGTCTGTTGATATGCGTGCCACAGCAAGAACACCAAATAAGGCTTGTTTCACTATGAGAGTGATTCTCCTTTTCATTGTAATCAGCTAAGTTGTAAAAAGAGTTACTGAAGGCTTACTACCTTTTCTTCATGTTAAAGAAGGACCAATAAAAGACCACATACATCTGAAGTTGTTCATACTGATCCAAAAGAAAAATTAACTCTGCAGTTGTTCTCGTTTCACAGTACAAGCACCAGAACATAAGAAGAGCCAACAATTTGAAGAAGACACAACTAGGGACATACAGCTACAAGCAATCAGACACCACAGTTCTAATTTGTGTGACCTTGTCTTATGAAAGAAAAAGTCAAAGAAGCTTTCAATTGAAACTCCCTGAGCAGAAATTAAAACAACTGTCAAAAAGTGGAAAATAAACAGAACTCCAGCCAAGGCAAAACCCCCACAAGATGGAAATCCAGAACCAAGTAAATCAAAGAATCAAACCACACACACAAATAGAGAGACACAAAAACCAGACCCAATCGTTCGACGCAATCAACTATGCATGAGACATTAAACAATCCATTTTCAACGAGAAGAAAAGCATCCGTCATCAACTACGGAGCTCAGCCTCAATTTACTCGAAAAGACGGTCAAAGCACATAGATCCGCAACACAAGCAACCGCAAAAGCCAGTAACCAACGGGTAAAGCTCAAAACCGGACAAAAGCGCACAACTTTAAAGCACAAACGAGCGTGCACAAAATACACAACATGTCAGTAATGAGTGCATCAAAAAGTATATCGTGGCAGAAAACATCCCTCTTCCAATGTCACACTAGCGCTGACTTTTCAAGGAACAAATCAAGTGATTAATGTTAAGTAATGTGTGCATCAATGTTATAAATCTCAATGGGCAAGGTTAACGTCTTACTTTTGCACTCGCAAAGAAGATCCATGCAACCAGGACACATGCACCACTACAATAATCACATGGACCTCCTCACACCAGAGAAACTCATATCAATTTTCCCACATAGCTTTGCCATGAGAAAGAGAAGTGCATACCTGGTTTTGATCCACAACATCGACGAACACAACGAGCTTACCATAGTTGATGAGAGCAACCCTTTTGATTTTTACTTGTCCAGGCATCCTCAAAGATTTGCTAAAACAGAATTGGAAGGCTCGATCGGTTCGGCAGAATCACGAGAATCGTCCTCCTTGCGGCGTGAAAGACACAAACAATACCATTGTTGCAGCAATCCAATTTATAGCCCAACAGAATGCTCTAGATCACTTATAGAACAATAGCTATATCCACAACTTTCGGATGAAGACCACAGCTAGATTGACAAGTCGTCCAGCTCCAAGGTGTCCAAGTAATTTCATGTCCCAGTGATGTCACTTGTGCTCTATAAGAAATTGGATTAAAAGGAACAAAAGGCCGCCTTGGTCCCGATGGTGATGAGTGATTTAATGCCAGGCTCAGTAAGCTTCCTCCAGGTGGGCGAACGACCTCTTCCCAGGGCCTTGAAACAGAGCAACAACAGAGACGTTAATGGTGGACAAAAAAACAAGAAGTGCAAGTAATGAAGACAACGAACGCAAAGAGAGAGAAAGAGAGTCCATAGTCATGATTGTGGCCTTGTCGAGCACAGTCAGCGATCTTCTCCAAGTTTCCACTTTTGAGAGACGAGCTCTTGCTTGATCACCGGTCCAAAGATTGAGGTCACCAATATTGTTCGCCGGCCACCCACCATACACAGCGATTATTTCAAAGTTATACAGAACATGGACGACAAATCGCCCATGAATATGCGATACTTGTCCTTCACCATCTCCGATTCCCTGCTCAATTCCAAAAGCGGTGGTAGCAGCGGACGGTCCAGATTGAGAATCCGTAAGGCATTATCCTTAAGATTGTTGGAAATTTGTTAGATAACATGGAAATATAAGAAGAATTGGAGATCTATTGAAAAACATGATAAAATAATATCAAAATATCTGAGTCATGCAAGCACTGTCTATAAGGATAATTCCGCCTCTCGAAGTACAAAACTCGGTGCGTAAAGCTCTAGCGGCTATCCTCTCAAGATACAACAGACCTTCTTCTATACTCCGCACTGAATATTAGAAGGAAACACGAACAATGTTATGTGTATAACCCAACAAAGAAAGGAAAAATATAAAAGAAAGAGCAAAGAATATTTTTGTTTTGATATGTATATATATCTATCTATCACTTTCCAATTATGCTTAAAGTAACAATTTATAGGTATAAGAAAGAGTAATGGAGGGTTTAAGAACAATTAAATCAAACGTTACAAAACCGTTAGAAAGCCGTTATACGACCGTTACAAAAGTGTTACAAAATAATGGCTTTATGGTCGTCATAAATTATAATAAATATTTCAAAACTTCTGAAATATCCAACATTTGTGGACTAGGAAACATAGAGTTAAAAACTGAAAATGGTTCAAGAAGTCTACCGGTTCCCTCAAAAAAGATTTGTGGCTAGACTTTCACCGTCACACTGTCATTCTATAGAGGTCGGTCGTGCTAGCCGCTCCTATAAAAATAATGTGATCTTGTATATTGCTAATTTATTCCAAACCTCGTATCGGCATAATCCACATTTATTCTCCTTCTCCCTCTTCACCGCTCCTTGACAACTTCACTCTCTAAAATGACAGTAAAATAACTATAATGGGGTAGAAACTCCTACCTTTAAAGACAAGGAAAAGTAAAAACGAACATAGGTTTTGAATTTAAACAGACATCCTCTCTGGACGACTGATCCAAATCTTGATCGGAAGGTCGACATAACCGTGCGATCGAAGAACACTCCGGAGAGTCCATCTTTTGGCATTAGAGCCACCGTAACAGGACTTCTCGCGCCTTCCTCGACCGGCAAAATTCCCGTGTTGCGGTTCAGGTCGGACTTGACGTAACCGGGGTTCACGGCATTGATGGCGATTCCAGGGTATTTCTTTGCCAAAACTCGTGTGTAAGCATTAAGAGCTGCCTTCGAGACAAGGTAAGCGGATAAAATGATCGGCCAACCTCCGGTTTCCACCGTATCCTCCTTCCTATCCTCAGAAATCTCGCTACCAAAGCGTCCACTTTCTTTTCCGTGAGGCTATCGATGTCATTGAGCTCATCTTTGATATGCTCGCCGGGGATGTTCTAATTTCAAGAAGGATAAGATGAACAAATCTGGTCATGAGAATATATGCAAGTAACTTATAGTTTTATGGGAATGAGCATGCTGGATTGTTCAATTTGTTACGCTAAAAATGGGAAAGTCGTTAAACATTAGCCCATCTTATAAACTGTTGGTTATTTTACATTCTTCGTGTTCTATACCTCACATCTGCCTCACTTATTCAATTTTTTTCCTTCATGTCATGAGTTTTCAATCAATCTATCTGTGTTCAGGCTTTCGTCATTGTTTTAAACGACAAAAGAATATAATAAGTTGACTATGTGTGGCTCTCTCGATCGACAACATGAAAATTCATTTGCGTACTCCACTAAAGCAAGTACAAACCTTAAGCTGGCCAAGGGAAGAGGAGACATTGACTACTTTTGCCGCATTTGATTGTTGAAGAAGAGGTAGAAGAGCAGCAGTTACTTGTTTGATTCCATAGTAGTTAGTCCTCAGACATTTTTCTGCTGATTCAAGCGTCTCTTTAATATGCTCTTTCATTGATTTGGCCTCGGGACCTAGAATCTCGTGAAGAAGACGATAGTGTTAACCAATTTAAGCCTCTTAATCTCGATAAATAAAAGGGAGGAAAGGAACAAGAAAAGCAGCATGAGATACGCTTCAACGTAGTATGTGTTCTATAAATCGCATCATAAAGATTATTTGGAAAAATGTATTTCATAGTAGCCTTGCGGGTTTGAGAAATCTCACATTATCTTCTGTCAAGACCAAGTCTTTTTTCATGACTGTAGCTCCGGTTACGCCTGCATTATTCACCTGCAACGCCATTGCTCTTTTATGGCTCTTTTCTCTATCTATTTGAAGCAAGACATACCAAGCGACATACGAATAGATTTTACCAAAATATCAAGTTTCCTGAATCGAGCCTTGACGAAATCCGCCAGCGAATTGACACTGTTCTCGTCAGCCACATCCAGTGGATGAAAGGCCACGTCGGAGATTTCAATGCTCGCGAGCTTCTCGATAGCCTCATTTCCTCTATTCACATCTCTGGCAGTTAATACAACAAAGACTCCACTTGAAGCTAGTTGCTTGCATATCTCGAACCCGATCCCTTTATTCGCACCAGTAACAACCGCAATTCTATGAAAGTTAACACAAAAAGGAGAACAAAACAAAAGGGTCAGCATGTGTATCAAAATATATCACCGGTGATTCATCGAGAGTAGTGGAAGTGATTAGAACCTGTCCATTTGATGAAGAGCTTGAAATGTTAAAATCTCCCTCCTTTTTTCTTTTCCAAAGGTTTTGGAGGGTAGTGGCTGTTCTGCTGTGGCTTGTTGATTGCGCATTTATAGGTGGACAAAACATCATTGATGTCTGAGATGAGAAGAGGTCATCAAAAGTAGGAAAAGACTTTTTGTTTTGTTTTTTCCAAAGCAGGAAAGATTGACATAACGACTCAGTGCATGGAAATGCATGAAGTTGGATGCCTACCATTCTTGCCCGCTAAGATATTGGCTAGTGGACACATGTTATATAAGACCAAGTATTTCTTCATTGACTAAGCATTCTTTCTCGTTCGTTGACATCTGACGAAGTACATATCTCAAAACAGCACCAAGGGAAACGAGCAAATGGAGGATGAGAGAATGAATCTGAGAGAGGACCGAGAGAGATTTTCTCTGAAGGAGTAAATGGCAAAAAATATCAGCCTTTGAAGTGTTAAGAGTATTATAGAACAAGTCAATGAATCCTATCTTATGAAAATCTCTTCAATATTATGTATCATTTAGTAATAAGATATGTAGACAAGGTTTGATTTATCTTGTCATACATACTGTATTGGTACCGATGTAATAAGTTTAGAATTTTTTTGGTACTTTTCCCTAATTTCTTGTCATTTGCACTACTTTGTCCAATCATAAATACACACCCAAAGTGTGACCATCCTAATCTGGAGTTAAGCGATGTTACTGCGTCTTTATTAACGGACAAGACTAAATTTGGTTTTGTAAGCTAGCTTTTATCTGTGATGAGAAGAGGTCATCAAAAGTAGGAAAAAGATTTTTTCTTTCTGACATAACGACTTAGTGCATGGAAATGCATGAAGTTGGACACCTGCCATGCTTGCACGCTAAGATATTGGATAGTGGACACATGTTATGCAAGACTTAGTATTTCTTCATTGACTTAGCGTTCTTCAACGTTTGTTGGCAGCTGACGAAGTATTTCTTCATTGGCTAGCAACCAAATTTCAATTGAAATGAAATCTTTAGAAGAAATCAATGCAATTTAGGAGAAATCAATGAAAGGAAAGGACATCAGATTGACATAACGACTTAGGGCATGGAAATGCATGAATTTGGACACCTGCCATGCTTGCACGCTAAGATATTGGCTGGTGGACACATGTTATACAAGACTAAGTATTTCTTCACTGACTTAGCATTCTTCAACGTTTGTTGACAGCTGACGAAGTACATATCTCAAAACAGCACCGAGGGAAACGAACAGACGGAGGATGAGAGAATGAATTTGAGAGAGGACCGAGAGAGATTCTGAGATCGATGGAGGTCACAAGTAGGAATTGTTGTAATATTACCTGATGCGGAAGCTAATCCGGATCCTGCAAATTAAGTCCAATGCGAAATTACCAGAGAAATAACGAGGAACATAAAGGACATCCAAGATTTACGTGGTTCGGTCCAACGTATCAATACCTACATCTACGGGGAGAGCCAGCAGCAAATTATCCATTAATAATCGGAGAATTCAAGTTACAATCGCTCATTCACACGCTCGAGTGTTTCTCGCACCTATATTAAACCCAAATCTCAAGTGTTTACAAATAAACAATTTGAATGGATATAAAAAACTCACGGCATAAATTCACGTGTCCGAAAGCACATCCGCAAGAGCCCCTCCTCGTGGCTTCATTCTTCGTGCGCCGGCCACTCAAGGAGAGCTACTATGCTCTCACTTTGAAACCCACATTCTGCTCCAAGGGAAGAGCTACTGTGCGGCCACTATTCCCTCAACCCCACTTGCGGTTGGACTTGATAAGCAGAGGAAAGAAGACCCACGACTTTCCCTTCTCTGTCTTGTGCGGCTACATTTTCAAGGGAAAGAACAACCTAGGCTTTCCTCCTCCTTTTTTGGTGCAGCTGCACCTCAAGAAATGAGGCCCTAGGGCTCCCAAAGAAAGGCCTAATTCCCTAAAAAATCCTGAACTTAAGTCTAAACCCAAATTTGCCCCAAACTTGTTTTTGTCACATAAAAAACCACAAACTTTCAATGGATTCCCAAATCTGTCCTCCGTTACGTTTCCATCCTATCTACACCGTCAAAGTCCATTGTTGTGCCACATGTCAAACTTTCTTTTTTTTTATTTAACTTTTTCTCTCTCCTCACTATCTCCCAAGTCCGCCTTTGTCAGAACTCTCGCTCTTTTTCTTTGTCACTCTCTTTCTCTCTGTCCCCCATTAATCCTTTCTGTGTGTTATGAGCTCTCTCTCTCTCTCTCCCTCTCCCTTGTTGAGGAAAACTCCTAATGAATTTTGAAGCTGACAAAAATTTCTATGTTTATCTTGTAAATCTGACATGCATTCCATTCCAAGTTAATATGTTATGGAAGTTCAGAAGGAAATATCAGACTTTACAAGTTTTCAGAACTAAAAGTTCAAACTCAAAAATAAGATGTTCAGACTTTACCATAAAAGTCATTCTGACTCTAATTTTGAAAAACTCAGATTTTACTGAAGACCTACGCTGACTCGGGTTCTGAATATAAAGAATCAGAAATTCTTCGGACACAGAAATTATGTAGATGCAGACGTTGAAGTTTTTCAAACGCAGAAGCAAAACTCATTCAAAACGAATCACAACAGCTAGTGATATGGCATGGATTTCATAATAGGAAAGTTTTGATTGACTCAATCTTAATCAAATTGATTGACAATCAAATATTATGACAAGTATGCATTACAACGGATAAAGCTCTACTTATGGAAACCAAGATTCTGATTGTATGGGTGACCAGAATCAGCGAGATTCAGATTTTGTCAACCAACAACTACTCAATCCATTTTATACAAATCTATCCAAGATGAAGATGGGAAGATGATCCTCTGAAAACTGTCCAACGACTAGTTTGGGAGTGGAGGAGTATAAAAGGAGACATACGAGAAGCTGAAGAAAAGTACGAAATCGAGAATCAACAAATCCAAAGTCTGAGCATACTCCAATCCTTTCTCTTGTCTTTCTTGAGCTAAATACTAAGATCTTGAGGGATACTTTGTAAGAGTGATTGTGTGAGATAGAGAGTCCTATCATACACAAGAGTGTTATCACTCAGAATCTGTAATTCCTCTTGATTACATAGTGAAATCCAGCCAGTAGGCTGTCAGCGTGGGAGAGTGGAAGTAGGCTTACTATAAGCCGAACCACTATAAACTTGTGTGCAATTTTTCTATTCCTTATCTCTTACTTTAAATACTGCACATCAAGAGCACTATAAATTGTTTTGAATCTGAATTTTATTCAGACTCAACTGTGTTCAATCATTTCCGCTTAAATTGATCAAAATTGATTAAGATCACCTATTCACCCCCCTCTAGGTGATCCTTGCTAGCTACATCAATTGGTATCAGAGCAGGTTGCTCGTTTATTGAAGTGTATTACTTTTGAGCTAACGATCTATATGGCTAGCTTGAGTGCTCCAGGTCTCATTGAAAGACAAAGCAACAACAGATCACCATATTTCGATGGCAAAGAATATAGTGTCTGGAAGAAAAAGATGAAGGCATTCATCAAATCAATTGATCACATGCAGTGGGATGTTATCATCAGAGGAGTCAAACCAAAACCTTCTGATTCAAAAGAAAAGATAGAAGGGAGCACACCAGCAAATCCTCCATTATCTCAAACTAAGATATCAAAAAGAGAAGCTTTAGATTCAAAAGCAATTTATTCTTTATATTGTGCTTTAGCACCTATTGAATATAAGAAAATTGCTTTTTGTGAATCAGCTAAGGATATCTGGGATACTCTCTACACTACATATGAAGGAACAGATCGAGCCAAGGAAACTCAAATCAATCTATTGCTTGGTCAATATGAATCCTTCAAAATGAAGTCTGGAGAATCAGTTGCTGATATGTATGACAGATTTGCTGACATAGTAAACGGTCTTGCATATCAAGGACAACCAGTCTCAGATGCGATGAAAGTCAACAAACTGTTGAGAGGACTATCAAAGCAATGGGATAATATCAAAACATCTCTTCGAGAGACTTAAAGGATCATGCCTCTATTAGTGAATGAGTTAATTGGAACTCTTCAATCATATGAGACTGAGCAACTGAATGAAGAGAATGAATCCAAAGGTAAAAAGGTCAATTGCATTAAAAATTAACATTGATTCTGATGCAGATTCTGAAGATGAAGATGTTGATAATGAAGAACTGGCTCTCTTCATAAAGAAGTACAAGAAGATGAAAATCAAAGGAAGAAACCTCAAAGGAAAGAAGCCTTTTGAGAAGAAGAAGACTCTCGATGAAACAGAAAAATCAAAGGAAGTAATTTGCTTTAATTGTAGGAAACGTGGACATATTAAGCCAAATTGTCCACTTTTGAAAAAGAAGACCAAATTTGAGAAAGCCAAGAAAGCCTTAAAAGCAGAAACCTGGAGTGATACAGAATGTAAAGACAGTGATGAAGATATCTCAAACTTCTGTCTGATAGCCAAGTCAGATTCTGATTCTGATGCTAAAGTTGAGATTGAGGTAAAGTATCCTGAAATGCCAATTGAAGTG